AGGAACACCTTGATTCATCTTATAAATCTTCAATTTGGCTCTGGCTGATGTGGCTCAGTGGATTGAGTGCTGGCCTGCAAACCAAAGGGTTGCTGGTTCGATTCCCAGTCAGGGCACATACCTGGGCTGTGGGCCAGGTCCCCAGTTGGGAGTACATGAGAACTCCCATACATGTTGATGTTTCTCTTCTTCTCTTTCTTCTTCCCTTCCCCTCTCTCTAAACATAAGTAAGTAAGTAAGTAAATAAATAAAAGCTTCAATTTGGACTTGATTCCACACATATAACCCAAGTCTGAAGCTCTCATCCTAATGACACTGTCACTCTAATATGCTCCATGCCCCATATTCTGTACAACTCCTCCATCCAGGAGCACCAAACCTTTAAGTGGATCATGGCAGGATGAGGCTGGTAGAATGCTGGCATAATAAGAACCTGAGGCTGGCTAGCATCCCTAAGCTGTCTGACATTAGGTTACCAAAACTGCAAAACCATAGGCAGGACCCCAGAACCTTTGAGAGTACCTTGAGTTACCTGAAGTCGTATGAACCAGAATCAGAAAGATGACAATGGTGATTAGATAAGGCTTCATAACTGACAGGTTCTGAGAGGACAGAGGGCACACACAAGGGGCAGAACAGAGATCTTTGCAGCAGGGCCGTGCCCTCCTTTATTAGTTTCCGAAGGAGGCTAGGGTTGTGGGCAGTGAAGTAAGAAAGATGGTACACACCTGAGGTCACCCGGGCAGAAAGATAACGTGTGTTACACATGTCCTCGGGGAACTCCATGTGCATGTAGGAGCTCTGCCAGTACCCACATCAAGGTGGGCCCTCCTTCCAGTAAGAGACAAAGTAACATTAAAGCCAGTTTATATATTGTGTAAGACCAACTGGAATAAATGAGAGAGTTAATCCATTCAACAATGAAAAAAGCTAGTTAAGTTACTATGAGAAATCAAGAAACTTTAAAAATATATTTCTTTACATTCATGTCAGGAGTATACCGCATTAGTCAGCAGCACTTACTGTATACACAGCAATGTACTACCCATCAAGATAAAAGGAAAGAAAAAAAAACGATGTGGGGAAACTGAGGGATGGAAAAAGGGAGAAAAATACAGAAGGTGAAAAACAAGTCAGGAAGTAATATTGTCAGTGAAACAGCAAACTAAGATCCCAGTATTTCTCCCTCCCTGACAAAAAAAAATTTTTTTTAAGTATCCACCAGTGAAAATGGCTCTGGGGGAGCCACAGAGCATAATGAAGAATCTGTAGCAACCCAGTGGAGCACGAAAACCAGGAACGGCTGCATTAAAAGTGTTGGAAGCATTTTACCAGTATCACCCCACCTCAGCCCAGCAAAGCTCAGGACCAAAGGGGAGCCCCTCATCAGTGACCTCTGTCTGCACTGGAAAAGGGGAGGAAAAAAACCCCAGCAGCCTTTGCCACCAAAGGACCAAAGAGCCCTCATCACTGTGGAAAACACATGAAGCTTTCTCCCCTAAGGACCCCCACAGTCTTTTCCTTGCTAACTCTAGGTAACAAAGGAGTCCAGAGCCCACATTTTTACACAAATATGTACCCAGCAAAATTATCCTCTAAAAATTAAAGAAAGATAAAGTTTTTCCAAATAAAGAAAAACTGAGGAAGTTCATTATCGCTAGACCTGCCTTACAAGAAAGGCTTGAGGCATTTGCTGAGTAGCCTCAGACCCAGCACTGGCACCAACTTTGAACCTATACCAACCTGGTGAATACCCCTTGCTCCTACCTGTTGACTCGCTGCGAACTTCCCCTATACAACTTGAGAACTGCCAGAGGCTTTTTTAGTGACTGAGCTGATGGGGCAGTTGGAAGGGGGAGGCAGATGGAAGCAAGCAGAGGTGGACTTTGGGATGCCTTGGGCCTTTGATGACCTCTCCCCAGACTTGGTGCTGATGGAAGCGGGCCTTGGTGCATAGCTTGGTCCTTCCTGCGCACATCCGGCCCCAGCGGAGACAGCCACAGACTGTAGATCACTTTGTAGCTCCAAGCGGGTTGCCCAGGGCCAGTCACAGGTAGTGTCTGACGTTGGTTGCACCAGAGTCCCTCTTAAAAGGCCCAGAACCAACAAATCCAGTGGCCAGCTTCGGACAACATCGAAACAGGATTTAATTAGCTTTACGAGTGGCACATAGAAAGGGAGCCCTCGACACGCTCCAGATCCTGCTGAGGCAAATTCTGCTCCATGTGGTCGGCAGTCACACAGCCGCTCATACACGGTGGCTGATGTCAGCCCTAACAGTCAGCCAGCCTGAGGGTTGACCCTATGCACAAAGGAGGAGGGTGCCCATCAGCTAGGGGATGGGACTCACGTCACCCCACTGTTTAACATCAAAATTACATGCTTTCCTCTATAATTTAATATACCTCAAAAAACTCCTATAAGATTTGTGTTGATAAACAGTGGAAAAAGTGAAACTGGAGAAGGAAAATAGGAGAAAAACTGATGTTGGTGAGAATGGGGGAGCCCTTACAAAACTGCAGATGTCAAAGACACTGTTTAGTGGGAGTACGGATAACAAAATTAAGATGGACAAATATGCACTTGAAAACAAAGGAAATCACATTGCTTTTGAGAAGAAGAAAGGGAAATGACATTAGAAATTCCTAAAGTAGTCAAAATGTACATTCAAGGGAATAAAAAGCATGAAGGGTTTCTTAACTAGTTGAGAATTACACTGTAATAATAGTGAATCCTCTACTTAAAATTGTGCAAAGGCTGATTTCAAATCATTAAATTGAGATCAGTTTAAGAGTTGGACCTAAACACACATGTTAATGGCTTAGACGTGGTGCCTTGAGATGAATCTGGGGGGTGAGGGGGGATCGAGAATGACTCACTCTAGGTTTCTGAATTGAGCAACAGAACAAATTGTGAGTGTCAATTACTGAAACGGAAGGGCAAAGGTTTTCAGGCAAGCAAACAGATTTAGAATTCAGTCTAGGACATTTTGAGCCTGAAATCCAGGAGGACATAACAAATATGTAATTTAATATGTGAGTTGGGACCTAGTCTGAGTTGAATGTATAAATACAGAACTTCCCCAAGATCACACAGCTTCTGAGCAGTGGTGGGAAGCAGGGAACAAACCCTTCTGTCTCTGTAGTTGTGTTTCTTTCTAAGATTTGTAGAAACCAGGGAGATGGGAATCTGCTTGAAATCTAGCATGCCGCAACCACCTTCACTCTACAAATACTGCTGACACAGGAAGTCTAGAAATACTATATATTTCAACTACAATGCTGAACCCTTTCTTTCAAATATTAAAATATGTGTCTAACTATGCTGCTTGTGCCAGAAAATTTTTGCAACTCTCCTTGAAACCTGGTTTCTACCAGGCCTCTGTCCCCTGTCTGACAAAGGTATCTGAATGTCCGTGAATCACAAAGATATAAACATCATTCAGTTTTTTCATCAGACCTCTAAATTCCACAGAAATAAAAATCCAACTGTATTGACTTTTTATTGAGTGTGTGACCTCTTGTCCATCAGTTAAGTCTGGGATTGTCATTTGTCTAACAATGAGAAATGCAGGTAGAATGTCCATAGTGAGAAAGAGAGAAAAGAAATAGGGAAGATAACATACATCATGGGGTAAGTGGCAGAAGAAACCCCAAATGGGACTAACAAAGAACACCCAGAGACCAGAAGTGAAGGCAAACAAAGATTTTTAAGAAGGACTGGCCCTGGCTGGTGCGGCTCAGTGGATTGAATGCCAGCCTGCGAACCAAAAGGTTGCTGGTTCGATTCCCAGTCAGTTCATGGGTTGCTGGCCAGGACCCCAGTTGAGGGTGTATGAGAGGCAACTGATCAATGAATCTCTTGCACATAGATGTTTCTCTCCCTCTCTTCCTTTCTCTCTTCCCCTCTTTCTAAAAATAAATAGATAACTAAATAAAATCTTTTTAAAAAAGAGGTACTAAGGGGAGAATTGGGGACAACTGTAAGTGAACAATGATAAAAAATGGATAGAGGAAAAAAAGGAAGGATTGAGAGCAATGCAGTGAAAATAGTAGCCAGTGGCAAGGTAAATGGGAAAACCTAAAGAATACTCAAGTTTTTCAACAATGAAGGCATTGGTGAGCGAACCAGGGCCATTTTGGTGAAGTGATAAGCGCTAAATCCAGACTTCTTTTTGCAGGAGGTGAAACTGGGGACGTGGAACTTGCAGGGCGTAGCTGGGAACACTGGTTCTGTTAGTTTGGCTCCGAAGAGGGGGAGAGCTAAGACATTAGCCACAGAAGAGGAGTATTCATAACACTGTGAAAATTCCACAGCATGTCAAGCATTAGTGGTCACTAAGTTTGGCGTGAGAAAACAATACTCCTCAATTCTCAAGAATGAAAGGATTTTAAAGGTTATGAAGTACAATGTCCAGCTTCTGTTCCAAGCCCCTGACCACCATCACCTCCGTCCCACATCCAGAAATGGTCCTCCAGCCTCACAACTGGACAGGGACAAGGCTGTTTATTCTACTTCCCAACAGCTCTACCACTTACAAAATGTTGCCCTCATCTGCACAACAGATCTCCACACTCCGTTTTATCCACCCACCTGGTTCCGGTTCTTCCTGCGGACACCACGTCATACCAAACGCACCAGGACAGCTCTCTGGATATCAAAGGCAACCCTGGCGTCCCTGTCCTGATCCCACAGTATTGACCCTAGGGACTCAGTGATCGCCTCTGCACGCTCACTGGATCACCCAGACTCGATCCAGTTGTCACCTTCTCTCTGTGCTTTCCAGAATAACTCACAGCCCTCCTCACACACCAAGCAGAGCAGAAGCATCATCTCCTGGCACCCTCACCATCTACTGAGCTATCCTAACATCCCATTTGCTTTGCCTTTTTTTTTCTTTTTTGCCAGTGCCCTTTCCTAAACTCTGTGGCTCTCCAGCTCCCAGCCTGACCTTTCCCTACCCAGCGATGACTACCCACAGAGGAAAGACACACACATGAGAAGGAATGCATTTTTATGGGGAGGGCGCCCCAGGAGGGCGTATGGTCAGTGATACTCAGATTTCCAAGTAGCTTTAAGTGTCTGTAACCGACAGGCTGGAGTTCTTTTTCACATTGTTAGAACTGGTTACTTTCACGGGAAGTTTCAGGCAGCACTTTTGGTCATTGGGGCAGGTTAGGTGCTGAATTTCCTCCTTCCTGCAGGTGTTTCTGCACATGCCATGGTAAAGGTGGCACGGATCCCAAGGCTCCTGGCTCCCGCCAAAGTAGGATCGGAACAAGCCACCTGGAAAAAATATAGCCATGTTTAGCTTCTATGCAGCAAGGAAAATAGTGGGGAGGAAGCATGATTTAAGGAGAACAAACCCGAAGAACATTAAGAGCACAGGATCTGGAGTCAAAACCACCTCAGCTCAAATCTGGGCTCTGTCATTAAAGCTCTTCATTCCTGAGCAAGTCACTTCAGTTCTCCAGCCCACCATTGCCTCATCCTCACACTGGGCATAATAACTGAGCCAACTTCTTGACATTGTGACGAAGATAAAATTAGCATATATAATATGCTCAGACAAGTAATAAAAACCAAATATTAGGCAATGTTGTTGATATGGATGTCTTCCTGGGGTCCTAGGGCTTCAAGGGCTGCCCTTGTGAGTGCCTGTTGGTCCTGTCCCAAGTCCACTGACAGACGTGTTCCCACGCACAGCTCTCACCAGAGGCAGCTGGGAACTACTCTGAGGCAGCGAATGCATGCGTATTCAAGCCCCTGGATCACCTTTGTCCTTCAAAACATTTGAGCAAACACGTACCATAAGTGCTCACTGTACAAATCTCTACACACATTTTCTACATAGGGCTAAAGCTCAGTTGTGAGCATTAATGGCTATGTATCAGGCATCCACACATGTCTGTGTGTATACAAGCTTATCCCCTGAAAATACACCAGTGACAAATCAGCATTCTGTTGGGAACTGCCCTGCCTGGTATCAGAAGCTGTAACCCCCACTTAGGCTAAGGCTAAGGGAATGCCCTTGGAACCGTAAGCCAACAAGGAGACAAAAGCTTATCTCCCTGGCAGGAGTGCTGCTTCTGCTGCTTCATTCATAATTGAACCCCAAAGCTTGGTCAGTTAGCCAAAGATGGGTAAGATTCCCCAAGGGGGGAACGACCTAAGACAGGCATGATCACGTGGGAGGCCCCCAAAAGAAGGACTTTGGGGGCTATAGCAAAAGGGGGTGGTGGACCCTCACTCCTCGGCTTTGACATAGCCAGAGTCCTCATCGTCTGGGAGAAAATCTCCTTATCTTTTGGTTGCCTTAGTTCCCTTGCTCCACCTAAGCCTGAAACAATGACAGGGTGGTGCAGCTCTGTGCTGAAAAGGGTGGATTCCCCGGGTGATCAGGCCTAAGAAAGAACATGTAAATCCCTGTGAAACCTTCTTTGTTTAGAATGCTCTCAGTTGAATGAGAAGGGTCCAAGGAGGAAGTTAGTTTGTTCCTCAAAGTTTTACAGCTCTTTGACCCTGACCCAAAATAGGCCCTCAGACTTCCTTGTTATCTATTGTTTGATCCTCACTTCCTAGCAATGAGTAATGAGCTTTTACCTGAATTCTTATGCAAACGAAACCAATAAAAAGCCTCTCCAGAGGGGGAGCAGTGCGCTCTCCCCACCAGGGAGGGTGGCCAAGCAGCGCCCTCCAGGAGAGAGGGTGGCCAAGGCGCTCCCCACAAGAGGAGTGGCCCTGCTGTTCCTATTCCCCCACAGGACCTGGTTATCTCTGTGTGTGTTTTTCTCGCGTTTTGACGAGCCATCCGCAGCGTTTCGTGATCACTGCTGGCCGGTGACCCACGCATCAGTGTTCTATAAATATTAGTCATCTATAGTATTAACTACCCACTGGAACTTTCAAAGACAAAGGAGGCATTAGAAAGGAAATGATGCTACCAATCACAGCCACATATCCCTCATCTTCTGTGTACCAGGCATTTTACAAATAATATCTCACTGAACCCTTGCAAAAGCCTGCTGTTATTTCCATTCATCAGATGAAGACACCGAGGATCACAGAGAGGCTGTGTTCTGTCCATATTCCTGTAGCTCATGCTTGACCAAGCCAGGATTCAGTTTCTGGTCCACATGATATTAAGCCCCAACTGTTTCCTCTCAATGTCACATTGCTTCTCTACATGATAAAATGTCTAGGAGGAAGTGACACATTGTGTGATGTCTAGAGGCATTGAGGCATCTACAGTTTTCAAAGATAGTCCACCATGCATAGCTGAGCATTCAAGAACACTCCACCATCCACCCATCCTCTTATTCCACATCCATTTACCAGCACTCACTCTGGGCCACACCACGTACTCAGTGCTAAGCATGGATAGGTCTCAATGCCCACCCACACTAGTAAGCACTGGCCAAAGCAAGTTTGATGTTATTTCCTGCCTGGCAAAAAAATAAAAAAGTAAAACAACAACAAAAAACCACTTTGTTAATTTTTTGGCAAAACAAAGTAACATTTTTCAAGTGTAAGGGGAGTTAGAGAGTGGGGCGGAAAAGAAAGAAGAAATGCTTCAGAAGCAGACATCCTACAGCCCTGCAGTGCTGGTATGTGTACCAACTACCCACCAAGTTGGCACTGCAGTCCAGAGGGGGCACTCAGTGGCTACCTCAGCCAGCCTGCTGGTTGACCAGCCGTGGTGCTCCTTCATTCACACCCCAGCATTGTGGTGCCACTGCATTTCCTACACGGACCCTCGCCCTCATCACGGAACCTGTCTCTCTTTTGAGAACCGCCACTTATGAACCTGCCTACTTATAGGGAAGGGAGAGCCGCAGGGGGCCTCCCCGGAGTGGCACATGCGCTCTTCTGGTTAACATCTGAACCGGAGGATTTTCCTTTTCTCCTGAACACAATGCACGGAAGCTGAGCACCCAAGATTCCGACTTTGGAGACACTAGAAGACCGATAGGAGCATAGATGCCGAGCAGAAGGATCAGGCAGGCTGCCTTTTCCTCACTCTTTCCACGTGGAAAGCAGGTCAAGACCATCCCAGGAGGATTCTGTTTAAGGTGACGGAACAAACAAAAACTAACAAACAAGGGTTTTGTTATAAACATTTTTTAAAAAAAATTTATTGATTGATTTTTAGATAGAGAGAGAGAAAGAGCAGCATCAATTTTGTTGTTCCACTTATGTATGCATTCATTGGTTGATTCTTGTACATGCCCTGCCAGGGGTTGGACCCGTGACCTCAGTGTATGGGGGCGATGCTCTAACCAACTGAGCTACCCAGCCAGGGCATAGACATTTATGACTTCTCACTCCTGTAGCTGCTCAACCCTTATATTGCCTCTTGTCACAACAAACAATAACACTTATATCAAGTTAATGTCACCTTTGATGATCCCTCCATCTTCCAATTGAAATCAGGGAAGATCTGCCTTTGAACCCCGGCATTGCCTCTGAGCTTCTGGACCTCTGGCCTAGTCTCCCCATGGGAGGAATGGGAATGGGGGAGTTTGCACCAGGTCAGAAAAGTCTCAGCTGTGTTTGTGCAGGAGGAGGTTAATAAGGTGTGTCGTACTTTGTAATAACCTTGGGGGGGAGGGCTAAGTATCCTCACATCAGTCTTTAGAGACATGATCAATGTGCTCCATGATTGCTCTGCCATCCGTGCACCCCAAACATGATCCTTTCCCATCCAGCTTCTAAGGTTCTCCCTACCTGTGTGTATTTATCAGGCATAAGTCATTTGTAAATTCATTCATTCAGTAAACATTTCCTGACACCTACTCTGTGCCAAGCACTCAGTTAAATACCAGGAATACATAAACTTAAAAGGCAGAGTCTTGGCTTTCAAAGAGTTTAATTTCATATGCATGTGTTTGGGGTGATGGAAGGAAAAAATGACTTTGATTGTCCCAGAAAAGTTTGTCCAGAACAGTTCCTGCCCATAAATTCTGCCAGGCATAAATATTAAATAGTTATTAAGGAAGCAACACGTTGTACAACTTTTGAAGCATTAAGTGCTGTCTTCCTTTTGTGTGTGTGGTGTTTGTTTTTTTTTCTCCAAACCCACCTGCGGTTTTTACCACCATTCTGATGTGGGAACTGAGCTTTCCTGGACAGGAGAATTGTCTCTCAAGTAAAGAAGATGAGCCAGGGTGAGAAATAAGGTGTAGGAGAATGTGAAGGAGGAAGAAGGTGGGAAAGGGGGAAAAGGAGAGGGAGAAGGAAGGGGAGGAGAAAACACTAGACACAGTAACTCTGAACTCAGTCCCCAAAAAGGAGAAACAATTTTGGTTTTCCATAGGGCTGGGCTGAGACGGCTCCTATGTCTCTCTGTATGTGCCAAGGTTTGACAGAGACGTTGAGGATACTCCAGACTTCAGATGTCATTTATCCTCTCTACTGATAGTTATATCTACTGTTTTCAGTGTCCCTGAAAATCACACTAAAGAAACTCTTAAGAATCTGAAAATATCACTGGATATTTTTCATCCAGCATTCATTCCCCCCATTTCAATAGCCACAGCTCTGCTATGATAAATTTGACTGTCTTATTCAAACTTATTCACCCCCAAAACTGGGCTAAGCCAACTACTTCCCAGATAAACCCCACGTATGTTCTGCTGGAATAAGACTCCTACTTGAACCAAATTTCTAACCTGGACTCCCAATCCTATCTCTCCTGATAACCACCTAAAGCTGTTATAAACCTGAACAGAAGCATAAAACTAGCCACACCACTCAGTCCTAATTCACAGCCAAAACATAGACCAACTACAAACTTTAATCTACCCTAACTCTCAGTTCTACCCAACTCCACCCTCAGTTCCATTCAACCAAAATACCATTTCCTCTCCAAATTACATGGAAACATTAGTCCAGCCCAATTTTATAAATAGCATTGCTCACTCCCTCCACGTCTCTTCTCACAAAACTCACTCTCCAAACTCCAAACTCCTGTTGATTTCTCCGATAGCTCTCTCACACCTGGTACATGAATCAGGCTTCCATCCCAGTAACAGCACTACCTAAAATATCTTATGCTTCACCACTCCACAACCCCAGGAAACAAAAGCCTCTTAAATTGGTCTTGGTAGAGCAGAACCAAGGGAGAGCTTTACATGAGATGGACCTTGGGGTTAGCATTCACAACTTATCTGAGACAAGAAAGGCTTTAGGTATGTGTAGTCACCCAGATACCAATAGCACACGTAAGACCCCAGAGCTTTTGAGAGAGGCCTGAATTACCTGGAGTCTTATGGAGCAGGATCAGAAGGATGGAAATGGTCACTAAATAGGGCTTCATGACTGACATGTCCTGAGAGCATGGAGGACGGTGTAGCAGGGGACCGAATACAGATTGTACAGCAGGACAGTGCCCTCCCCGCCTTTGTCGGTTTTGGACGTGAGCCAGGGCTGTGTGCAGTGAGCTAAGAAGGATGAGGCGCACCCGGAATCAGCCAGGCAGGAGGATAACACGTCTCACATGTTTGGGAGACCTGCCAGCACCAGCATGCCAAGGTGGGCCTCCTGCCCGGGAAGAGGCAAATCAGAGCCTGTTGGCCTATTGTGTGAAACACATTGGAATGAATGAACCAGTGGATCAATCAATCAAACAATGAGAAAATGAATATGTAATTTAAGAAATAAAAAATATTTTAAAATTAGTCTTTATCCTTCTGACAGTAACCCTGTACTAGGCATCACAGACTAAGAAAAAGAAGACAATGGTGAAAGCAAAGATGAGGAAGAAAAATCAAAGGGGAACTATAAATGGAGGAAGGGAGGGAAAGGCATGAGGAAGAAGTAATGGAAACTCATACTTACTGTGAACCTATCACATGTCAGTCTCTGGGCTAAATGCTACAGTATAGATGCAAACACTCACTACAACGCTGGGAAGTTAGTGGTATTTGCTCCTTCAAGATGAGCACAAGAAAGTTTGAAGAGATGGTGTGACATTCCCACGCCACACGTCTCGTAAGGGAATGGCGTGGTAATTAGATTCAGGGCTTGGATTAGAAGTGATGTTTGTCTCACAGCATACGCCTTCAGGGTTCTTTTATTCTTCCTGTGAGTGGAGGGAAAGAAAATGAAAGATAACAAAAAATAATCAAATTGCTAAATATCAGAAACTAATTGCTATTCAAGACAACAAATTCAGTCTGAGGAATCAAGCAGTCATCCCTCGAGAAAGGAATAAAATGATTTTTTTTTAAGAGGACACCACATTGACTTTTTACTCTCATGAATCATGTGCAAGACGGGTGGGTGTTGTCCAGTGTTTTGAATGAGCATTAGGAAATAAATGAAATGGGTTTTTTTTTTTATTGAAAGTCTAGGTTAGGACTTCCACATCTTGCCACACAAGGCAAATGGAACTGGACTAACCCTCCCACCGTAAGCAACTATAGCACCGGAACAGCAAAGAAAGAGTTTTAGACATTGAACTAAAGGCAGAGCAGGAGTGAAAAGGCAACCTATAAAATGTGAGAAAATATTTACAAACCACCTATTTGATAGGAAGCTAATATCCACAATGTGTAAGAAAATCACATAATTCAATAGAAAAAAGAAAAAAATCCAACTTTAAAATGGATAAAGGACCTGAGTAGACACTATAATAAGATGAATTGTATGTTGGGATTTTCCTGACAAGACTTTTTGTTTATTTTTCAATTACAGTTTACATTCAATATTATTTTGTAGTCATTCCAAGTGTACAACCATATACTTTACAAAGTGTTCTGTCTAATATTGCCAGTACCCATCTGACACCATAGTTGTTACAATATCATTGACTACATTCCCTAGGCTGTGCTTTACATCCGTGGGACTATTTCATGACTACCAATCTGTATTTCTCAACCCCTTCACCATTTTTACCCAGTCTCCTAACTCTCCTTCTCTCTGGCAACCATCAGTCTGTTCTCTGTATCTGTAAGTCTGATTCTGTTTTATTTGTTCACTTATATTGCTCTTTAGATTTCACAGATGAGTGAAGTTATATGGGATTTGTCTTTCTCTGACTGACTTATTTCATTTAGCATAATGCCCTCTAGGTCCATCCATGCTGTTGCGAATGGTAAGATTTCATTCTTTTTTAAGTTTTAGTAATATTCCACTTCTTTATCCACTCATCTACTTATGGGCACTTGCATTACTGCCATATCTTGGCTACTGCAGATAATGCTGCAATAAGCACAAGGGTGCCTAGATTCCTTTGAATTAGTGTTTTGTGTTTCTTCAGATACATACCCAGAAGTGGAATCACTGGATCATAAGGCAGTTTTATTTTTTAAATTTTTAAGGAAACTTGATAGTTTTTCATAGTACTGTACTTGCACCAAATTGCAATCCCATCAAGAGTACATGAAGGTTCCTTTTCTCCACATCCTTGTCAACACTTGTTATTTGCTGATTTATTGATGATCGCCATTCTGACAGATGTGAAGTGATATCTCATTGTGGTTTTAATTTGCACCTCTCTGATGATTAGTGACATTGAGCATCTTCTCATATGTCTGTTGACCATCTGTATGTCCTCTTTGGAGAAGTGCCCACTTAAGTCCTTTGCCCACTTTTTAATTGGATTGTTTGATTTTTGGGTGTTGAGTTGTAGGAGTTCTTTAAAAATTTTGGATATTAACCCTTTATCAGATGTATCATTGGTGAATACCCCCTTTTATTCAGTAAGCTGTCTTTTCATTTTGTTGATTTTTTTTTTGCTGTGCAAAACCTTTTTCTGTTGTTGTCCCATTTATTTATTTTTTCTTTTGTTTCAAGGAAATATATCAGAAAAAAATGTTGCTAAGAGAAATGTTCAAGATTTTACTGCCTATGTTTTCTTCTAGTTTTATGATTTCAGATTTTACATTTAAATCTTTAATCCATTTTGAGTTTATCCTTATATATAGCATAAGAAGATGGTTTAGTTTAACTTTTTTACATGTATCTGTCCAATTTTACCAAGAAAATTTATTGAATAAACTAGCTTTACCCTATTTTATGTTTTTGTTTCCTTTATCAAATATTAATTGTCCATATGAATGTGGGTTTATTCTGGGCTCTCCATTCTGTTCCATTGATTTATGTGCCAGTTTCTATGCCAGTTCCCTACTTTTTCCATCACTATAATCTTGTAGTCCAGTTTGAGTGACACCTCCAACTTTGTTCTTCTTTCTCAAGACTGCTGTGGCTATTTCTGGTCTTTTGTGGTTCCCTTTACATTTTTGGATTTTTTGTTCTAGTTCTGTGAAATACATCATTGGCACTTAGATAGGAATTGATTTGAATCTATAGATTGCTTTGTGTAGTATGGAGAGTTTAATGATGTTAATTCTTTCTATCCATGAGCACACTATAAGCTCCCATTTATTTGTACCTTCTTCAATTTATTTTGGAAGACAATATTTTAAAAATATCAATACAATCTGTATCAAAATCCCAGCAACTTTTCTTGCAAAAATAGAAAAATTTATCATAAGTCATATGGAATCCCAAGGGAAACTTAATAGCCAAAATAATCTCAAAAGAGAACAAAGTTGTAAGACTCATACTTCCTGATTTTAGAACTTACTACATAACTATGGTAATCAAAACAGTGTGGTACTAACATAAAGACAGACACATGCTGTGACAGATGGTTATTAGACTTATTGTAGTGATCACTTTGTAAGATATCTAGATGTCAAATCACTGTGTTGTACACCTGAAACTAACATAATATTGTATGTCAACTATAATTAAAAATTAATTTACAAATACATTTAAAAGACAGGCATATAGAACAATTGAATAAAATAGAGAGCCCAGAAATATATCCTCACATATATATTCAAACAATTTTCAACAAGGGTGTCAAGACCACTCAACAGGGGAAAAACAGTCTTTTCAATAAACGGTATTGGGGAAAATGGATATCTACATGCCAAAAAAATTAAATTGGTACCCAACCTTTTACCATATGCAAAAATTACCTCATATTTGATTGTCTAAAAATGTCTGAGTATAAGAGCTAAAACTATAAAACTCTTAGGAGAAAACATAGGAAGAAAATTTCATGGCACTAGATTTGGCAATGACTTTTTGGATATGACACCAGAAGTACAGAAAAGCAAAAGAAAAAATAAATAAGCTGGCCTTGATCAAAATTAAAATTTTTGCATAAAAACACTACTAAACAAGTAAAGAGGCCACCCATGAAGTGAGAGAAAATATTTGCAAAGCACATATGCCATAAGGAATTAATATCCAAAATATATACAAAACACCTACAACTCAACACCAGGAAAATAACAACCCCAAAGGCAAAGAACTTCCATAGATAATTCTCCAAAAATGATATACAAATGGTCAAGAGCACATGAAAAGATTCTCAAAATCACAGAATATTAGGGAAACGCAAACCACAATGATACCACTTCACAGCCATTAGGATGGTTTTATTGAAAAAATAAGTAAATAAATAGCAAATGTTGGCAATGACGAAATGGAAACCTTGTGCACTGCTGATGGGAATGTAAAATGGTGCAGCCCTATGGAAAATAATATGGTGGCTCCTCAAAAAAATAAATACAGAATTACCATGTGATCTAGCAATTCCACCTCTAGTTACATACTTAAAAAAAAAAAAGCCCTGGCTGGTATGGCTCAGTGGATTGAGCACCAGCCTGCAAACCGAAGGGTTGCCAGTTTGGTTCCTAGTCAGGGCACATGCCTGGGTTGTGGGCCAGGTTCTCAGTAGGGGGAGCTCAAGAAGCAACCACACATTGATGGTTCTCTCCTTCTCTTTCTCCCTCTCTTCTCCCCTCTCTAAATATAAATAAATAAAAAAATTTTTAGAAAGAAAGAAAGGGTCCAAACAAATGTTTGTACTCTCATGTTTATAGTAACATTATGCACAATAGTCAAAAGGTGGGATAAACAAAATATTATATATACATGAAATAAAATAGTATTCAACCTTAAAAAGGAAAAAATTCTGACACATGCTATGACATGAAAAAATCTTGAAGATTCTGTGGTAAGTGAAATAAACCTCTCACTTATAGGAGGTGTCTAGAATAGTTAAACTCATAGAGAGGGAAAATGGAATGATTGTTACCTGGGTCTGGAGAGGGGGGCAGGAAGCGGGAATGGCAAGTTTGTGTTTAATGGGTACAGAGTTTGTCTAATACTAACGTTGTTCTGGTCAAGTGTAACTTCTTGAATCCAGCTATTCAATGGCCGGATCCTAAATAAGCAGTGAACATGACTGCCTCACAGTTACCAAAGATACTTGACCTGGCTCTGCTGTATCTGGTATTTTAACTCCCAATGCTGACTTAAAATAGCT